TCGCCGGGTGAACACACGTGCATATGCTGGGTTGATCAGCTAAACGGCAATGACAAACTGCGCAGGGCTTGGCGTGGCGTGGAGCCTGGGGTGCTTGCACGGCGATGCCCGGGCACAGTCTAAGGCTGTCAAGGCTTGTTCCAAATGTTCTATTTTTCTTTTGACCCTTGGCCCGATGCCTCAGATGGGTCAGGTCGCGTCACCCGACTGACGAGCGCCAGCAAATCATCTCCTGCTGCGTCCATCATGCATTAGGCGTCTTGGCTGGGGGTACGGGGAGCTGGAGCCGGTCGATGAAGCCCTTCTTGCCAAGTACCTATCAGCGGAGGCAGGGGAAAGGAAACAAGAGAGCAACCGAGAGCGGGATGGGGACACGTGCGCCCTGGTGGGATGATTTGTGAACGCCGGAAGTCATCCTGTTTTTGGTCATCCGGGTTGCTATGGATTGGCCTTTGATTGCGCTGCAGCTGGCCGCGGTGGGAGGATCTCAGCATGGAGCTGATTTGACATCCATCACACGCATTTGCGACAACAATGCCGCGGCGGAATAAGCCAGACCCTAGGTTAGCTGTGTTGGTTGCTCTCCATGGTGGTAGGGTCCCAGCTCCGTGCGCGTCGTTGGTCAAGAACAGCCGCGCCGTTGATCGGGTTCGCTGCCTTCATTTGCTGTGGCCGTCGAGTGAGGTTGAGAGAGGGGCACACGTGTGATCTACGGGGACTGTGATTGGCTCCAGGTGCATGTCCCGATCCGGACTAGCGTCGGAAGCTATCTCGACGGCACGGCCAAACAACTGATCAGTCGAATCAATCACCACCAGCTTCCACTGCTTTGGCTGTCCCCTCAAAGCAACTTGGCACTGCGGACGAGATGCCCAACCCTGCCTTAGCTTGTTGCAGGCCTTGGCGGACGCTGCCCGTGTCTGACCCTCCCTCCATCCCACTCTTTTGCTTCCTCTTGGGCGGCTTTGGCCATCTCGCCGGGCCATCATGAGAACTCGAGCTCCAAATCCAAACCCACGTGCAAAAACCAGGAAGATTCTTCACCCTGCAATTACTTTATGTTTAATGGAGAAGCTTATTTTTGTGTTTTGCCTCAACACAGGCTATTGAATGGGTCGGCCCATGGGTTGATTTCGGAGGATGGTCAACGCCCCCGATGCGTCTTACCTTTCCTTTCCTTTCGAGGAGGCGAAGGAGCATTGATTGAACCCTCAATGCAATGGCTCTCTTGTGCAGCTCAGCTCCTGTGACTCTACCCGCTCTTGCGGCAGCAATGGGGTAGGATCGTCCCGGAACAGCCACAGCGAGACAGCCATGTCCTGCTTTTGCATTCGAGCTGAAGGATAGCGTGTCCACCACCACCCCCATGCCAAATACTGGGCATGCAAAAGGACCAGGACCCATCACGGCCTGCAACGAAGTTCACATCTGTAGTGATTAGCCCCGACTATATCCTGGTGAGCTCATGCATGCTCATCGCCCGAGTTACTATCGGATGCTTCCCCCCCCAAAGGCGTGCTCTCGCGTCGCAATTGGACGCCACCTTCGTCCACGGGTCCAAGTGGTTTCTCGAAGGTATCGCCTTCCTCTCTTGGGGTCCACCGTCACTCACTAATGTCCCACCCCTAAAGGCTGGGCATCTTCACAAGTGTCTGTTGCCTCATCCACTTTTGCTGACCCTGCTCACTCCAGCCAAGGATCATTTGGCCATTCAAACTGCCAGGATGCCTTGGCAGTGCTATCCATGTCTATATTGCCTCTCAAAGCAGATTCGAGTATCCAGGACGTGCCCTCCCGATCACCCACTCAGCGATCAGATGCTGCCCACGCACCCCGCCAGTACGACTTGCGATGGAGCAAACTGGGTGGGTGCTCGTACGTAGACGGGCACTAGGACGCCCGATTCTAGAAGCTCACCCCCGATATTCCCTGGCTTTTCCTCTTTCCAAGGGTTTTAGTCAGAGCAACTGACCGTAAAGGATGCTTAAAATTAAGCTTCTGGTGACACTACGAGGTACGTACAACGACGGAGCAGACGAGCGACACCCCACACAGCCATCGTCACACACCATGAGAATCCACCTGGGCAGATCCCTGGGAAGGCAGTCCTAGTCTCGTACAGCGCCGCGCTGCCTGGGTGCGCCAGAATGGGGGGACTGGGTTGGAGGCGGCCGAGAAATGTTGGTCTGATGCGCATGTGCCTTGGCATGCTGCCTTCTGGAATATAAAGGCAGAGCTGCTCGGTCCCCCCAACCCTGTTTCTCCTTTCCCAGCAACCCTCCTTTCAATACAAACTCATTCTTTAAACGGTTTGAGCAGAGGTCGTTCCCGCGCCTCCACACAAGGACACCATGCCTCTTCATCAGTACGACTACATCTTTGCCATCGGCACCATCTTCGCGTTCCTGGACGCGTGGAACATTGGTAAGTTTGGCACCTGCTTTGCTATTATCGATTGACTTGGGCGGTTTCGCTGACGACTTCAACGACAGGTGCCAACGATGTCGCCAACTCTTGGACTACTTCGGTTTCGTCCCGATCCATCAGCAACATCCAGGCCATGGCTCTGGGTTCCATCCTCGAATTCGCCGGTTCCGTCGGTGTTGGTGCCCGTGTCGCTGATACTATCCGTACCAAGGTCGTCGACCCCAAGGCCTTCAAGGACGACCCCGCTCTTCTCATGCTCGGAATGATGACCGCCATCGTCGGCTCTGCTACCTGGCTTACAATCTGCACCAAGATCGGTCTTCCCGTCTCTACTACCCACTCGCTCATGGGTGGTGTCATCGGAATGGGTATTGCTTTGATTGGTGCCTCCAGGATTACCTGGGTCAACTTCAAGAGCGGCGACATTAGCGGCGGTGTCGTCTCTGTTTTCCTCGCCTGGATCATTGCTCCTTGTCTCTCTGCTGCTTTTGGTGCCATCATCTTCCTTATCACCAAGTATGCAGTGCTCCTCCGCACCAACTCTGTCATCAAGGGTCTCATTGCTACACCCATTTACTTCTTCACCACTGCTGCCCTCCTTGTCATGCTTATCTGCTGGAAGGGTGGTTCTATCAGCCTTGACCATCTCACTGATGGCGAGATTGCTGGTATCATTGTGGGTGCCGCCGCTGCCTGGGCTCTGCTCATCACCATCTTCCTCGTCCCATGGATGTACCGCATCATTGTCAAGGATGACTGGCAGCTCCGCTGGTGGCACATCCCCTACGGCCCTCTCCTGCTCAAGCGCCCCGAGCCTCCCGCTCAGCCCGACGGTGCCGCCGGTGGTATCCGTGACTTCTACGCCGGCCACTTGACTGCTGATGAGCTCGACAACCTCCGTCACCGCCGCCCTGATGAGGAGGCTGCTGCCGAGACCCACGCTAAGGAGGGCAAGGAGGCCAACGAGTCTTCTTCCGATGTTGCCCACCACGCCCCCCCCGCCCCCGTCGAGGCTCCTGCTGATGAGAGCGGTTCCCTTGTTGGCCCCAAGCCCGAGGGCGTCTGGTACAGCGGCCCCGTCCTCTTCTGGTGGATCAAGTGGATCCTCCTCCGTGGTGTTGATCAGGATATCGTCTCCGCCCAGAAGAAGGAGAGCATCCTCACCGGTGATCTTGCTGCTGTCCACGCCGCCGTCCCTCACTACGACAACAAGACTGAGTTCTTGTACACCTTCGTTCAGATCATGACTGCTTGCACTGCCTCCTTCACTCACGGTGCCAACGATGTCTCCAACGCTATCGGTCCCTATGCCACCATCTACGAAGTCTGGTCCACTGGCAAGCTCAACACTTCCAAGTCTCAGGTCCCCATCTGGATTCTGTAAGTCAACCAACCCTCTTTGGAACTGTCTTCTCTCTTTGCTAACACTGAAATAGCTGCTTCGGTGGTGCTGGTATCGCTCTTGGTATCTGGACTTATGGTTACAACATCATGCGCGTCCTCGGTAACCGTTTGACCCTCCACTCTCCTTCTCGTGGTTTCTCCATGGAGCTTGGCTCTGCCATCACCATCATTGTTGCCACCCGTCTTAGTATGTTGCCCCTGCTCCCCGCCATGAACTCGAACCTGTACTGACCATCAAAACTACAGAGCTCCCCGTCTCCACCACCCAGTGCATCACCGGTGCTACCGTCGGAGTTGGTCTGTGCTCCGGTACCTGGCGATCCATCAACTGGCGCATGGTCGCCTGGGTCTACATGGGCTGGATCGTCACCCTCCCCGTCGCTGGTATCATCTCTGGCTGCCTCTGCGGTATCATCATCAACGCTCCTCGCTGGGGCTACGATCCCTCCACCCTCTCTTAAGTGGAGCAAAGTAGGGCGATGGTCTTGACGGCCACCAGTAATATGCCCCCTGCTGGCTTCTTCTTAATGCTGTGGAAATTGTTAGACTTTTAAAGACGATATTGTGTCTCTCTCGGTTACTGCTACAAGGATGTGGACGGTCTCGGTGGATATCCTCCAAATGCTTAAATATAATATTATATACTCACTCAATACGATACCATTTTCTTTTCCCTAAATTCCAAGAGTGTCTAGTCCTAAACTTAGATGTCTGATAACCATTGTAGAGCCGGACCCCTTGTTTGGGTAGGTAGATGGACCTCGCCTGTCATATGAAGCTAGCTCCAGTCTCGCATTATGCAGTTGGTTCGACCCATGCAGTCCAAGTGTGAGGTGGACACGCACCACATTAGCTACGCTGTTGGCTCTAGCGACCCCATAATCATCTATCGTTTATGGATAGAAAAGCTCTCGGTTACTATTACTTCCCCTCTTGCTTCGTGCTCGCGTGATTTCTTCCCTTGTCGTGTCGTACTCGCTCACGGTGGCGCGTCATGGAGCCTCAAAAATCTGCAGTCAACACCCACCACCATCGACCTCCAGTATTCCAATGCCGGCTCTGATGTACTGACTCTAGGCAAGCTTCTACACAAATATCAGCTAAACAAGTCACAACAACGAGTATAGCGCACGTGCCCAGGCTAGAATGCCAGCCGGCGACCCGTCCCTTCAATCTTGGCTCCGTGGATCTGATCTGGAGAGCAGCGTGTCGCATGCTTCCGCTAGGAGGTTCAAGATCTCGTGAGTTGGGTTTGGGGAGCGGAATAGCTGCGGGTGGGAATTAGTCGAGACACCAAAAGACAACATTCCTACTCTGCCGTGTTGATACATACCTGTTTGTCAATGGCCACGAGTGTGTCCTGCCCACCTACTGGCTTACACATGGTTGGATTGGGGGAGGAGTCCAGAATGACAGCTTTATTCCTCCAATGGCTGATGGTGAATGTAGAGAGAGAGTAATGGTAGTATGTCCAGTCCAGAAGAATGTTGATGTCGGCTTCGGTTCCCACCTTTGTCAGCTGAGTCTCACGGATGATGTCCATCGCTCCTCTGATGTACCAAATCCATTCCCCTGAGCTATCTGAGGGCAGTAAGATCTGCATTTGGGGCAGATTAGCCAAACTGATTCCTTGCGCTGGACACTCTGTCTCGAAGACGTACCTCGAAGGCCCCCAGGAGCATGCACGCGGCAACATGCTGAACAGACTCCGTCGTGCCCAGGCTGGCGATGCCGGAAGATTTGGAAAGCGCATGCAGGGCTGCCACCTTGAACTGCAGCGTCTCCTCATGAAAGCCGCTGCGACGCAGCGCCGAGACGGCAAGCAGCGCGTAGAGAAGGGCGCGCCCGGAGTCCGTGTCGCTCGCAAAGGCCATGCGTATCAAGGCATCTCGAATATCTGCCGTGTTGGGGCTGAACGCCACCAGCGAAAGATGCGCGTCTGCATGGACTGGGGCAATATGAAATGTGAGCCTGGCGGGGGATTCCTCAGTGGTGGGAAGTATGCCACGTCCGGGAGCTTACAGTAGTGAACCAGATCCATGTTCCTCACAACGAACTGCGGCCGCCTGAGCAAACTGGGTGTCGGCCGGACCAGGAACCGGGGTTGCTGGAGAGTCAGGTAGGCCAGGTGCCGATACAACTCGACGTCCCTTGCGGTTGTGTTGATGAACCTGACCTTGGATCCTCTGCGCCAGCCTGCCCTCGACGGCACCGCCACCGTCATGGTGCGCTTCCTGTCGTTGTCTCTGGGCCACGACAGGCGAGGCGAGTATCCCTGGCATTCCAGGCCTGATCGGACGCATCTCTGGCACGTAGGTAAGGCCCGATCACACTTGATTTTCCGCGCTACAAACCACTAGCGGTCAACATCCCACCCGCGCCGAAGGATGCAATTACACGCAGGACCAACCTTTGCACGTCCAGCAGCTCTTCTTCTGATTCGTCATGCCGGCGGACATTTGCTAATCTCCGTCGAGGGAAAGCCTAGATTCGAGGCGGAATTAAGGCTTCTTGGGGGTTTCGCGATCGGGATTCAGCATCCCAAGCTTAGAAACTGAAAGAGGCTCGGGCAAAGTTGCTTGAGCTGGGGCTGGGCGGCCGGCGCTTTATCATTGGAAAGGCGGCGGCTGGGGCCATGGCCAGACCCACCAGGTGCAACTTTCTCCGAGCCTTGGAAATCCGACATTTGTCATCTGGTGATGGAAAAGGGGCCACGGACCGGCCCCACTCGGCGGACTTTGATGGACCAGGCCAGATACGGCAATCATCGTGTCATTGGGGACATGCCGGCCATGGCTGCTGTTCTTCATGAGGGTTTCGACGATGTCTGTGCATGGAGGACTAAGACTATGGCCAGGCAAGTCCGATCGAATGAACCCCGATAGGTCTCTGGGTATAAAGACTGGCTGCTTCCTCTGAGTTCGGTTGGGGTTCACTCACCAGTTCATCACTACCAAGTTCACTATCAATTCCTTGATCACTTCATATTAAGAAATATACACCATGGCTACCTACCTCATCACCCAAGCCACCGGCCGCCAGAGCCAATGGACCATCAAGCACCTCCTGGACGCAGGCGCCAAAGTCCACGCCGTTGTCCGCGACCCTGCAAAGGTACAGGCCAAGGTGCTCAAGGAACCAGGCGTCACCATCTTCCAAGGCAACACCAACAACCTGGAGGAGATCACACGCGCCGCCAAGGGCTGCAAGGGCGCCTTCCTCAACACCTACCCCATCCCCGGCATCGAGACCGAGCAGGCCAAGACCGTTGTCGAGGCCTGCAAGAAGGTCGGCGTCGAGTCCATCGTTGCGACCACGACGTTCGCCACGGGACACAGAGACAGCTGGGATGACGATATCACCAATGAGATCGGCCTGCACGGCTACTACACATCCAAGGCCTCGATCGAGGATGCCGTCCGCCAGAGCGGCCTCAAGTACACCATCCTCCGGCCGGCCTTCATCCACTTCGACTCCTTGGAGCCAGCGCCGAGTACAACTTCCCCGGCCTCCCCACCACGGGCGAGCTCGTCCACTCCTACGAGGAGAATGCCAGGATGCCCCACACCGACGCGAGTGACATCGGCAAGTACGCCGCGGCGGCTCTGCAGAACCCGTCCAAGTTCAACGGCAAGGAGATTGAGCTCAGCAACGAGCCGCTCACGGTCAAGGAGGCCAGGGACATCGTCGCCCGGGTCAGTGGCAGGGAGGTGCGTCTGAGGAAGCGCACCCCTGCCGAGGTCGAGGCGGCAAAGACGACCGCCCCGGCTCAGGTCTGGCACCTCTTCTCGAACGTCAAGGACTTCAGCTCCATTTTCGAGAAGGTTGCCAAGGTGCAGGAGGAGTTTGGGATTCCGTTCACGTCTTTTGAGGATGCGTTGAAGAGGGACCGCGATGAGCTTCTGGCGACCATTCCAGCTTAGATCTAGGTTGAGAGATTGTCCATCATCCAGCTAAAGGGCTATGTAGAGTCTGAATTAGTTACAATGGTAGTTAAAATTTCCACTCTGCTTCCAAGTTCCGCTCTCTTAAATCTCTTGCCTCTCGCAAATAAAAGTCTCGTCAACCAAGATGGAAAAGCCCTTCCACATAATCGGTGGATCACTTAGATACATCTAGGTTGCACCACTGTGTGGCAATTGGTCGACATTATATGCTGAGGCTCGTATGATACATTTTAGAGTAGGTAGTTGCATATCGCCCCGAAATATTATTCCGTGGCCCTTTCAGAAAGAAAATGAATTATATTTCGGAACGCTCTGCTGCCTCAGTGCGTGAGAAGAACTTCCAAAGGAAGGGACTCTTGGCACTCTTTGTGCTCAAGTGTTGTTCGTCGATTCCAATGCGCTCTCCGACTCAGGTTGTAGATGGTATGTAAAGGGTTGTTCGGATACGAAGCAGCAGTTTGATGCGCCGCTTGACTCCAACTCCCGCCGTGCCGATTCAGGCAAGTCCCCGTGCATGGGAATCCTCGTTCCTGATTGTTTGTCTGGGCGAAGCATGGGAAAGGTGGTTCATTGCTGATCAGATTTCTCACTGTTGGTATTCATCCTTCTCGCTTTGACTCAGTCCACCTGGCACAGAGATGAACAAGCAAACGGTGGTAAAAGGTCGAATATTGAAAGTAGACGAGAGAGTTGCGAGAATCCCAGGAAGAATTATGCAGGAAGCACAGAACAAAACGACCAAACAAGGAAAGGACCAAAGACAGACCAAAGATATCAATAGAAAACAAACGGGCATGGAAAGAGTGATGGCTAATACCAGTAAATGAGGTGGACTTTCGTCCATGTCTTCAGGGCACGAAACTTCCGAGGCACTTTTCATTTTGGAGAGCGACGGCGAGAGATATTATTAGACCGTATCTCAGAAACCCCGAATGAAAGCTGCACGGAATCAGATAAGGGAATGCCTAAGAAGTTGCGAAGCCACTTATATATCGTGCGTGGCTTCTAGTGGAGGAGAATCTGAATTTTATGGTGAGGATGTAGGGTACGAACATGAGGTAATAGGAGATGATCGTGGGCAGGCAGCAGCATTATTATACAACAAAATTCACAAATCTCCAGGTACGAAGGTTTTGGGTAAGCTTTCTGCTTGCTACGTACCTCACGTATTCGATCTAGGTAGATCGGACACGTGTAGTACTTTCTCTAGTCTCTATTTAACATCAAGCCTTGCGTATGCAGATTACCGACCCGAATCTTCTGCATCAGAGGTTGGACCCTTAACCAAGAGACACTTTAGTGATCGAGTGGTTTGTGCCATCATACTTCGAGAAAGTTCTTGTGGGGGATACCGTGTTTTAGTATGGGTTATTTTAGGAGAGTGATGCTGATATGGAGCAGATTGAGATCATTAAGCCGTAACTATATAATACAGCATCAATTTAATATTAGTGCCATTATGAAATCCTCGTACTATTTGAATTTAATAAGAAAGAATAAAATTCTACTGTAAATATTTTAGTGCAAAATGTTGGCCTGTGAGAAATGTATTGATGTTTGCGCTGTCTCTAATGCAGGAAGCAATCGCCTGGAACGCGGGGCAGATTTGACGTTTAGGGCTTGAAAAAATAACTATGCGGCTACCCGAAAAAGAAAAGAAACCCTTCATTGGGATATAATATAGTCACATCGACCAGGGAGAATAAAGAATGGTAGCTTCCATGAAATGTGAGGGCCGCTGGCGAAACCGTCTTGGTGATTGACCCTGCCTTTGACGATGACAAAGTTACGTCGCTGCCGCGCATCACCTACTTTTGTACACTCCAAGTGGCGACATGCTCCTGCTGGCAGTCTCCTGACCGCTCAACAAATACTCCATCGGAGGAATCCGTCAAGAAAACAGGTCTGGGGATGGTCTAGGCAGCTTAGTCCACCTCGAATCTCTGCTGGCTCCCTGGTTGGTGTATGTGCCATCGGGAAAACGCGGAGAATCCTGGTTTCAAGTCTGCCATTCATCCATCTGAACAACCAGAGGAGCTTGGCCCCCAGGTTCCCCGCACCCTGGAGGCACGCGCGCCCAGGAGTCGAGTCAGTCCCCTTGCGGGGCCCCAAAGAGACACAATATTTGGGTATGCTCCCTGAGTGAATGTTGGTGTTTGCCGCGGGCGGGACCTGGCGATCGGACTAGCGCAGAGGTTATTATGAGAAATGAAGACAGGTGAGGGAATCAGCCCTGAAGCCCTTCGCTTGGACGCTCGGGTGGACTGGGTGCAACGCCTGCTGGCTCTAATGAATCATCAGAAACTACCTCACCCACCCCCCCGTGTTCCTTCGTGCTTGTACCTAGCCGCCGGGGTAGACGAATCGATGGCTGCCCCTCCATTTATTCTCCCCTTGACCTAATCGCTAGCCTGGTCTGGGCTGCCTGGGGAAAAGGGAAAATGAACCCTCATCCTCCGGCCCCCGGCCTCAACGGGATTTTTCTTCGTGAGGTGGCCTGATTGTCTCCCACAGCTCACTCCACCTGGATGCGGAGCCCCCCGGGGACCTCCACCAAACGACTTGCATGGTGCGTCAGCTCCCCTGTCGCTTCTTCCTTTGCTGTACCGAGACAGTGAGTCGCGTGTGGGCTTCAGTTCCGTCTGCCCGGCCTCACACTCAACGCATAACCGACATGCCCCGAGAGAGGCTGTTCTGTGGTACAGAAGTGGCCACGAGTACGGTCATGTAGGCGGCGTGTATAATTCATTTACGTACTATTGTAGTTCAGGGAATCCGTTTGAACGAATAGGCAAAAAGACGCAGGTCTTGCCCCGTCGTATTAAGATGGCCGCCTCCCACCCTCTCCCACCCACTTCGCTTTTGCTATCCTTCCCCCCTCTTACACTTGATACTTGTATGCTTGTGTAATCATTGGCTCCAAACTCCATTATTGCGGTAGGCCTGGGCTTATATAAACGTCCTCGTACTGCTTGGAGTATACAAGACCAATCCCGATACTGAAACCTCAAGCGACATTATATCCATATCCAAGGACATCATTCATTAGCAATCAAGATGCGTTACGGTCTTCTAGCCCCGGCACTCGGCCGAACACTCCTCCGCAACCAGCGCCTTGCTGCTCAAGGATGCGCGGTAGGATTGAGGAAGCTCTCTAGCCATACGTCACCTCGCCCCTTTGAGGAGGAACGGTCCCGGAACTATAATCCAAAGGACTATTACCCGGCTCACATTGGCGACACTCTTCACGGCGGTAAATATGAGCTTGTGTCCAAGCTCGGATGGGGCACTGGCTCTACCGTCTGGCTCGCAAGAGCAACGCACTGGTAAGAGGACCTCCCTTACCTCCATTATCCTGTATGTGTAGATTGGCTCATATTTCGTGCTCAGGCTCCCATGGCAAAATGAACACTACGTGGCGCTCAAGATTACAAACAACACTCCCAATGTTCTCGAGAGAGCGCGTCAGGAGCTCGCTGTTTCGGAGCAATTCCTTGCCGCAGAGACCACCCATCCCGGCCGCCAATACATCCGCCCCGTCCTTGACTCATTCGAGGTCGAGGGCCCTGAAGGCTCGCACATTTGCATGACCTACGAAGCCCTGCGGCAGCCTGTCTGGATGCTTGGCCAGCAAAGCGGCCTCACCAGCCTAGTCCAGGCCAACACCATCAAAGCCTTGCTTCCAAGCATGCTCAAGGCCCTTGACTTTCTTCACTCTGAGTGCCGTCTCGTGCATACTAGTAGGTTTTACCCACTCGCTCCGTCGCTGGACTTAGCTCACATAATCTGTACTCAGACCTTACCGGTAACCATTTCATGATTCCGTTTGAGGACTCTGCTGTCCTGGACGACTATGTCAAGCGTCAATTGACCAACCCTGCGCCGTGCCAGGAGCGTCACGGACGTCCCGTCTACGCTTCCCGTCAAAGTTTTGGCCATCTTAGAGGGGATGTTCGCAATGTCAAGCTTACCGACTTTGGCCATTCCATAAGAGGGGATGTTGCTCAACCACATACCCATTTGATCCAAACCCGAGAATACGTTGCCCCCGAGGTCCTCCTCAAGGCAGGCTGGTCATACTCTGCTGATATCTGGAACCTTGGTCTTGTGGTGAGTAATACCCAGAATATGGCGAGATGAAGGGGCGTTTACTGATGATATTTGGTAGCTTTGGGAATTGCTCGGCGATAACAACCTGCTGAGCGGCCGTGTCCCTGGATACTGCAGATTCTCCCAGAAGAATCGTTTTGCCCAGATGATTCGTCTTCTTGGTCCCCCACCTGCTGAGCTCCTTGCCAGAGCCGACCGAGACGCCCTTTCCGAGTTTTACAACGATCAAGGTAAGTCAGAACTATTGATCCCCCCCCTTCCCGCTAAAACTTGCGAAAATTTTCGTTTTAACGGTTTTGTTGTAGGAGTCTTCAAGCACCCAGAACTCATCCCTGATGAGATGTCCAGCCTCTCCAACTCGACCCCTATGCTTGACGGCCAAGAGCGTGCTCTTTTCATCAACTTTGCCAAGAAGATGCTGACCTGGCTTCCTGAGAAGCGTGCGTCGGCCAAGGAGCTGCTTGAAGACCCGTGGCTGAGGTCTGCTGGACGGCACCGAGCCACGGGATTCGGATATCTTGAGGATACCCGTCTCACTTGAAAGAAACCAACGAATACTGGGAGGTTTATGTAAATATGCAAGGCATGAAAGCATGGTGCAACGGTGTTATGATGCATTTTCAATTTCTTTTTTCTAGTGGGAATATATCCCAGTTTGCCAGCGGCAACATATTAATGGGAATGTCAGGGGATGGATACCTTTGATGGAGCAAGTTGTATGATTCGATTATCAGAACTTCCTAAAGTTTCACAAGTTGATATCAAATATTATTCACGTATGATATGCATGAACATATCAATATTTAGAGTTGATCCTTTGTAGGAGGGAGAGTACATGATGCCAATTATGGACCTGAAATTTTGGT